TGTGAAGAATTTTATTAAAATTTTTTTTGAAAGGAATTCTTTTGGAAAAATTGATTAAAATAGTAAATATTAAAAATCATTGAATTCAGGAAAATTTTTGGAAATAATTTAATTTTGCCAAGAATTTTATTAAAATTTTTGAAAATAATTAAATTTCCGAAAATTATTTTTATTGTTTATAGAGATAATTGAAGTTTGACGAGAATTTAAAAAAAAATTTCTACATATATAATTGAATTTCACTCGAAAAAATATTAAATAATAAAAATATAAAAATAGTAAAATATAAAAATTGAGGTCATTGATTTAGCGGTAAAAAAAAATTAAACTATATGGATAGAAAAGGTATATAGCAGTGTGGAGGACCCCTATATCGATAATAATTATGCCGATGCTCTTTTCGCCGTGGGAAAACGTGACTCGTATAAAATGTATCCCGTTTACATAAAACCTAGAAGAACATGACTCGCCCTGCGGCGAATGTACAAACGCCAAGACATATGGTTCAATTTAATCAAATTTATTTACATATGCAGTTAATGACAAAATATATATTTCATAAAAAAAAACGAATCTCATGAATTTTGCTTTTATTTTAATTTTTATTTTACGTGCAAAAATAAATTTTTTTTACTAATAAAATTAGTTCTTTACAACTAATAAATTTATTTAGTTATTTTTTTACTAACAATTAGTTAATTTTAATTAAAGTTAGTTATCTACGACTAATAACAATTTACTTTCTACTAATAATTAATCATTTTCTAATAATTATCAGTTATTTTCTGCAAATAATTGACAATATTTTTTTTTATTTGCTAAACCGAAAAGCAAGTAAGGTTTTTTGTTATTTTAAACTAATTTATATTTTAAAGAGTATAAGTAGAGCAAAGCAGACAATTTTCAAGTAGAAAATAATAATTAGATAATAAATAATAAAAATATAAAAATAATAATAAAAGATAGTTAAAAAATAGTTATTAACAAAAATAATAAAAAAAAGTGAGCAATAAAAATAATAAAAAGAAGTGAGTAATACAAATAATAAAAATAATGAAAATAGTAAAACAATAGGAATAATAAAAAATATTAAACAATAAGGATATTAAAAAAATTGCGAACAACTAAATTTAATAGATGATAACAAACAATAAAAATATGAATAAAAAATAATGAAAAAGAGGAAAAAATTGTTAAAATGAGAAATTATTTAAGAGGAGAAATATTTACAGTTGCTCTGTTTCCTTTTGACGGGGTAAGTTTATACATAATATACTATCACTTTCGCTGCGAGAGAGACAGATTTCGCGTCGTTAACCCGTGACCTGCGCCTTTCCCCAGGACATTGTGACACGCCGTCGTCTTAATAAATATTCAATTCTTACTCGTGACGACTGTGCTTTGCCTTTTGTCTTCGAACTTTGGTTGCTTTTCTAATTAATTGTCCCGCAAAACGTTGGGTATCGATCTTAGCAGCGCATGAGAACGTCGTTGCCTGGATTTGTAACAGATAAAAAAAAATTGAGGAAAAAAAATTTCCAATACTCATTTTGCTACCAGAGAATGAGAAAAGCATTTTTCAATTTTTCCCATAATTATCCAAAAAGGAAAAAAAAATTATGAATTTTCTAATTTTTCTCCTTTTTTCTCTTTTATTTATTTATTTTATTTATATATTTTTATTTATCTATTTTCATTATTTATTTTTTTTTCTATTTCATTTGTATGATTATTGAATTATTGTTATTTATTTTTAATCAGGATTACAAAATTATTCTTCACAGAAATTTAATTATTTTTAGGAATTTTAATAAAATACTTTGCAAAATTCAATTATTTTCATAAATAACAATCTTCATCACAAGAATTCAATTATTTTCAAAAATTTTAACTAATATCTCGTCAAGAATTCAATTATCTTTATAAGTAGTAAAATTTTTCGACAAAAATTCAATTATTTTCAAAAATTTAAATAAAATTTTATAAATTATTATTTAAATTCTTCTCAGGAATTTAAATATTTTTAAAAATCTTAATAAAATTCCTTCAAAAAGTTTTCAATATTATTTTTAAAAATTTAGTAAAATTTTTTTAAGCAATTCAGTTATTTTCTAAAAAAATTTCGAAATTCAATTATTCTTATAAATAATAACATTTTTCACAAAAATCCAATTACTTTGAAAAATTTTAAATATAAACATTTTTTGCAATAATTCAATTATTTTCATAAATAATAAAATTTTTTACAGAGAATCAATTATTTTAAAAAAAAATAATAATATTCTTTTTAGGAATTCAATAATTATCTTAAGAATGAAACTTATCGTAAAATTTCAATTGTTTTTAATACGATTTTAATTAAATTTCTCAAAAAATGTACTTATTCTTAAAAATTTTATTAAAATTCGTCAAAAGAATTTAATTATTTAAAATTTGTTGATCAAATTCTTTATAGAAATTGAATTTAAAGAAAAATTTTATTTTTCAATGAATAATTTATTTTTGTTATTAAATAATATAATTCTAGTAAAATTTTCTAATAAAAATTGATTTAAATATGAATTTTAGTTAAAAACACTAAAATAATTGAATTTTAGAGAAAAGTTACAAAAATGAATGCAGAAATTCAATTATTTTCAAAAATAATCAAATTCTGCCCTGAAATTCAATAAAGCTCAAAAACTTAAAATAATTCTAGTCAAAAATTTAATTATCTTTATAAATAATAAACTTATTCTCTGAATTTCAATTATTTTTAAAAATTTTAATAAAATTCTTTGCAAAATTCCAATTATTTTCGAAAATTTTCCTCAATTCATTGATTTTTAATATCTACTATTTGAATAGAATTTTTCGCAAATATTTACTTATTTTTACAAGGATAAGTTTACAGGAATTTAATTATTTACACATTTTTTTTATAAATTTCTTTGCAATAATTCAATTATTCTATAAATAAAAAAATTCTTTTTAGAAATTCAATTATTTTCAGAAATAATAAAACTCATCGTCGAATTTTAATTATTTTTAATACAGTTTTAATTGAATTCCCCAAGAAATTTAATTAAAAAATTAAATTATTTAAAATTTGTTTATAGAATTCTTCATGAGACTTCAATTTAAAAAAATATTTACATAAGAATTGAATAAAATATTAATTTTTGTATTTAAATAATTTTCGTAAAATTTGCAAAGAAAAATTGATTTAAATTAAAAATGAATTTTAGTTACAATTTTAAATAATAATTAAATATTAAAATCATTATTGCATAAATTTTTAGAAATAATTGAATTTTGAGAAGCTTTTAAATTAAAAAAAATTGAAAATCTCTATTTTTCTTATTGAGAAAAAAAATATTTAAATCAAACATAATTATTTTTATTATACAGTTAACCAAAAATTATTTTTGAATTGAACATAATTTTGATTCAATAAAAATTATGTTTAATTCAATTATAAAATATGTTGAATTCAAGTATATTTCTTTAGTTGGCTATTTATTTTTGAATTAAAAAAAAAAAATTTTTGTTCAGTGAAGAATTGAAAAATTATTTTCACCGATTAAGAAAACAAAAAAGTAATTTCTTTTCTATACGCAGAAGGCGCAGAAAAAAAAACGGTAAACTATAACGGAAATGATATAAGAATATGAGAATTTTTCAAATGAAGAAATACAAATAAACAAACGGAAAATAAAAGAAGTGCATTTGAAATTTTATTAAGAATAGTATCACATATATAACGTATATATAAGAGATTATCAGCGAGATGAAATTTATAGTTTCAACGGAACGGCAAGCAGGATAGATTGAAGTTTTCAGTATGGGTTTCATTACTGTCATAACCCGTTCGATCTTAATTAATTAATCCAAGCTCGTTTACAAGCTAGGCGGAAAGAAGAAGAAGAAGAAGAAGAAGACGACGACGAAGACGAAGAAGAAGAAGAAGAAGAAGAAGAAGAGGGCGTATATTTCTATCGAACCGGCTCTAGGATGTCCAACAAGACATTATACAACCTGGTAGGACGAGAACAAACTTATATCGATAATTAACTTACGAAGACCGTTATTAAACTGCTTTGTTAATTGCTCTCACTAGAATTTACAATAGATTACTGTACAATTCGAATCACAAAAAAAACGGTATAAATAAAAACAAACAATTTTATTTATGTGCAACAAAATGAAAACATGCATCTCAACGACTCACTTTTACTTTATTACTTTTTTATGAATGAAATTTCATTCGTATCTCTCTTTTTATGGTTTTTGATTTTATTTCTAAAATTTAAATTAAATTAAAATTCTGAAATTTGTTTCTAAAATTTATAGTGACTTTTTTGATGTATAAGAGAATTTGTTGTTGTTGTTTTTGTATTTGAACGAAACAGTATTCTCAGAATGTAATACCTCGGCTCTCGTTGCTTTTGAGAAATCAGATACATCTACTTTATCTATTTTGCATCGATTGCAACACAGAGCCCCATAATCGGAACGTATTTAATGAGGAGATTCGATAAGCCACATTCAAGAAAGGAAGCAGTGGAGGAATATGTGAAAACTTAAGATAGAGAACTTTGCAAAATAACATTGACATGTAACTTTATATTTTTATTATCTCACTACTGACAATTGCTGAAAGTTTCAGAATGCGTATATATTTTTTTATTTTCTATATTTTAGAAAAAAAAATAAAGAAGAAAAGTGCAACCCTAAATATTTCGTATAATGTTTGAATCAATAAAAATTTATTTTTACAAAATTTATCGATTTTTATTTTATTCATAATAATACAATTACTTATTATGTATTATTTTTTGTTAATTTGAGAATTTTTTTGTTTGATACAAAAGAAGAAAGAAAAATAGATTCACAGCTTCCACGAATTATATATTATTTTTAATTCATTTTCATCTCACGACCGCTCTCTATTGCTTCATTTCAAAAATCATAAATGGAATTCAATTACCAAGGGTAACATACAAATAAAAATGCAAAAATGTAATAAAAGTATTATTTTTTATTATTATACTATACATTCTATGGAGTTGTGAGAACATTCTGCCAATATGCAGCAAATTTACAATGCATGTTTCCTGCAAGCTTACATGTAACTAGCCCGAGTCGAAATTTAAACCCTACTTTAAATTTCAGCCTGTTTTGGGAGTCAAAGGAAGGTCTAATTTAAAAAATTTTTATTGAAATCAGACCCTACTTTACGACTGCTAAACCTAAATAAGCCCTACATTTTCAGAGGCTAAGTAGGGTCAAAATTTCGAATCGGGAGGTTCAAGACACGGGGATATTTCTTCCTTTTTGTTAATAACTGTTTCTTGAAATTGAGTAGACGTTTTACTTTCACTTAATATTAAATAGTTTTCTGTTGACGAATTATCACCATTTGAAGCGGTTTCATTGGTAGCGACAAATCCTAATTTTTCACATTGCAGAAAAATTGTATTGTTTTTAACAATCGAATAAATTTTGTTAGACAAATCAGCACCATTTAAGGTAATTTTTGGTATTTGAGAGTAAAGAGCATCTGATTCTTTAAACATTCGAGATTCATTATACTTATAATCAATATACCTCATTAAGAATAATTTCTCTATCCATCCCTTCGTTTTTATCAAATATTCAGTAATATCATTTTTCTCATTTTCAACAATACTTTTCATGTAGCTAAATACATCAAATTTCTCAGCAATAACTTTTAGCATATCTTCAATATAATTTATTTTTAAAAAGCAAAAGAATTTTAAAAATTTATAAAAATGCTTATTACTACAAAGAGGATATAAATTAGTATTATCTTTGTAATTTATTGAGATTATGTTTTCATGAGCATAAGCTTGTAATTCATAAAAGTAAAAAACATCGTTAAATTCAGTGATACTAAAATCCAAATCGATTCTATTATTTAATTTCCTCGAAGATATGCACGGCATGCCTCTAAATAAATAGAATGCGTTATAAAAAATTTGTTGTTGTTTCAAAAATTTATAAAATTCCTTAGAGTATTTAATGTAATCACTGTTATTTGGATATGAAACGTGACTGTTTATAAATTCTGTCAATTTATTGTACAAAGATACATACAGAGGAGAATATTGTGGAAAGTGATTTTCAAAATTTTGATGTAGTTCTATTAAATAACTGGGATTTATAAAGTGTGTCTTACATTTTCCTGAAGATATGTCACAATTATCTGGCAGTGCAGAAATAACCAAAGAATTATAAGGACGAGCTTGTGCGTCAAGAGAAAAATAACGCTTAAAGTTTACGAAATAAAATACAACCTTAGAATAATCACTAATCATCTTGTATTCAAAGTAGACAATTAATGAGTTGTTATTTCTGTCGTCGATCGTTGGATAGACATAATAATGAGTATCATTGGATTGAACCAAATAAATATGTTTTATTATGAAATCGTACAAAAACTGTTCAGAATAATGAAGATCTTCTCGTCTTACTTTTGGCACTAGTCTCCTAGCTCTTATTTGATTAACAGTTCTAATTCCTTCTCTCATACTCTCTGTCACGATTATCACTAATCTCTTGAATTTCACCTCAAAGAGTAGAGCATCAATGATTTCCCAGTGATTGTAAATAGTGCAGATTGAAGTGTACTCAATGTTATAATCGAAATGATTATTTACTCTCTGTAGACAACGGATATATAACATTATTTATCATTTATGTTAAATTACACAATGGTAAAAACGATATTATATTGTTAATTTGAAATTTTTAAATTGATAAAAAAATTTTACAGCTCTACAAAAAATTATATCATGTACTGTAACGATATTACAAATTTCCCTGAACTAAATATTTAATAATCTTAATAGAATATGTAAATTTATAATATTATCGCGTTTAGGATCTCGCTGTAGTAAAATACAAGTCATTCTAAATTTATAAATTTTGATCAATGGTTCGGATACAGTGACTCTAAAATCCCCCAAGTCAGCATTTTCAGCCAGATTCGTAAAATTTTTAATTATTTTGGTCCCTATTTTGAACTTTTTAATTTTGACTAAAGATCCAGATTCAGAGACACCAAAAACTTTAGAATAGTTATTTACATTCATACTACATTTATTAAATATAAATTAAATATAAAAAAGCACCTACAGTTAAAATTTATCAAACAATCTGCATTTATTGAATAAAATAAATTTTTTTTCAGTACACTGATTGTACACTTTGCCTTTTATTCCTTAACTATAAAATGTTATAATTAAGATTATAGGTTTAAAACTCACCAAAGAATTATCAACAAGGGCATAGACAGCAGTCATTACATATCTCAAATTTTCAGTTGCATTTAGCATTTCCCGTTTAAGATAATCGAGCGTGAAGAAAATTTCATTTTCGCTTATAGTATATTCATTTTTATACAAATCTATTAAACTGTTAAACAATTCTAATATGCTACTTAATGGTTTGGTAACAATTTTTTTTAGAGCATCTGTCCACGCTGGTATGTTGTGAGATGTAACATCTGATATTTCTGTCATGAAACAAAATAAATTAAGTATTCTTATTTTGTGTTTATTTTCACAAAGATTGCCAAATGAACTATCATTGCTTTTCAATGAAGATACAGTGTTATTGATCAAATTTAAATAATCATTTGCAATAATAAGACCGATTAAATAATGTTCATTAATCTCAAAATTCATCACATCCAGATTTCTAGACTGAAAGCAAATTAAGTTTTTTTCTACAGTACTTCTTTTTTTACTTCTTTCTACACTCACGTTATTGTTTTGAATTTGTTTTAATCTTGAGTTAAAGTGCAATAAAGAAGTCATGCTTTGAGAATTTATGTTAAACCCAATCGAATCACAAATATCATAATCGTTGACTGTTGTAGAGGAAAAGTTTTTTCCTTCTTTTTCTCTAAATAATTGATTACGTAACTCGAATAATTCCGAGAAGCTTTCACCTTTTTGTAGCTTTTCGCCTATATATCTCGCAAGAGGACAATTGGTACATCTTGGTTCCAATGGAATTAAAATATCTTCATAGAAAGGAGACTCTTTCTTTACATTAACAAAATCAAAGGTGATGCCTAAATTGTTATCTAACAGCTTCCTTTGGGAATATACGGTCAAAAAATGGTCTTGAAAGTCTACTGGATAAACGAAATAATAGGTATCGTTGGCTTGGTATAGATGGATATTTTTCAATGCTTCATGTAACTGACTGTAATAAGGGTTGTTCTTGATCCAAAAATCATTTAATATTCTTTTGCTTTCACTCGAATTTCTAACTCTATTTATACCGTCAATAAATTTTTCTGCTATTATTACTACCAACGGTTTGTACTTTCTTTCAAAAAGCATAGAATCAATTAATTTAGAGTTATCATAAAGGGAACAGATATCATTTTCAAACGTGAGTGGCTTGATTTCCGTTTCTTCTACCTGCAAAATATTCATTCTAAATAAAATTCTCAAATTCGAGTCATCGATTTCTTTTATGCAGTATTTTTTTTAAATATGTAACTGTTTTAGAGTTATTTACAAAAAAAATTAGCTTAATTTATTTTATATTTTAATAGAAAAATGATTGAAAAATTAACATTAGAAATCTAATAGTCACATGCTGTTAAATATAAATTGAATATGCTATAATTTTTTAAAAACTGTGTATAAAAGAATTCATATGTAATTCTATAAAAAAAACCGATGTCCTATGAAAATGCATAATATGGGATTTTATTTTAATTTCATGGTATCTTTCCTCATTCCCAAGTGTCATTCTATCATTTTGCAGGTCATTTTTAATCATTTACCTAAATATTTAATTGATTTTCTACAGTGGCTCAACTCTGGCAACCATGTTCAAACCTGGCAACTTTTTTTTTATTGCTTATAACTCCGAATCTTTTGGTTAATTTTTTTTACAATGTTCAGCAAAAACATTGCATTTGAGATATTTTCAAACAATATGCGCAAAATCGCGAAACTACAGGGGAAGTTATGAAGAAAAGTCAAAACTATGCTCAACCCTAACAACTCTCCCCTAAGCAAAAATAAATATTATTAAAGAAATATAATAATAAACAAAATGAACTTCATTGGAGAAAAACCATTTTCAAATTGAACATTTAAAAAATTCAAAAATTAGAAAATAAAATATTGAACAATAGTTTTTGGAAAAACTGTACTCCTATCGTAACGTTAGAGTGTCACAAAAAGTAATCGTTTTTTATTATTTTCTTAAAAAGATAAATATTAACTTTTCACGATTCTTTGATATCTAAATATTTTTTGTAACTTTACAAAAAGTTATAAAATTTTTAACAAATTCGTTTAATGATTTTTTTTTATTTTTTGACTTCAAATCTTATCATTTGAGAAAATGCAAGTAACAAATATATAAAGCTATGTTATAATTTTTCTAAAAAACTATTTTTAAATTATTCTAAACTGAGTTTAAAAAAGACCATTGTTATTATTTATTTCCAAAACAATTATTATTTACCAGAATAATAAAACTTTTTGCAATAATAAACAATCTGTTTTATTAATTTACGAAAATCAAAACTATCATTAGTTTTTGTTTTAATTTAGATACTAATAAAAAAATGTATATATAGAGAAATGAAAATAATAAATAATCAAATTAAATAAATTTTTTTTCTAACACTTACATTTTCTTCTCCACGAACTAAAACTTGTCCAGCTATCAATAAAGAAATCAAAGTAAGCGCTATTGAAAATGTACTTTGAGTATGCATTTTTTGATTTGTTTGTAAATATTCTTTCTTTTAACACTTGCACTAATATAGTATTGAAGTAGAAAAATGCATGTTTATATACGTGAAAAAATCATAAAATATAATCAATTTTTTTAACAACCTTAACTTTATCACATTTTTTCTTTTAATCTCTAAAACTTTTTTGCGCTTTACAAAAATTTGTCGATTTATCACGTTGCTAAAAAAATTGTATTTTCTTTTAAAATTAAATATATTTTGTTAATTATAAAATACAAAATAAATATTTGAATTTTTTTGATTTTTTAAACTTTTAAAAATATATTTAAAATAGATATAAAAATAATTTCTCCCCTTCTACTTAATATTAACAAACATTTTTTTTTTCAAAAATCATAAATAAAATTCAAATACTAAAGGAAAGGGCAAATAAAAATGAAAAAATGTAATGAAAAATATTATTTATTATTAATAATCTTCAAGACACAATTTTAATTGCTCTTCTTCAAATATATTTTTAAGTTCCTGACATTGCAAAAAAATCTTACTGTTTTTAACAATCGAATAGATTTTGTTAGACAAATCAGTACCATTTGAGGTAATTTTTGGTATTTGAGAGTAAAGAGCATCTGATTCTTTAAACATTCGAGTTTCATTATACTTATAATCAATGTAATTCATTGAGAATAATTTATCCACCCATTCATTCGTTTTTAACAAATATTCGAGAACATAATTTTCTTCATTTTCAACAATACTTTTCATGTCGCTGATTTTATAAGATTTCTGATCAATAACTTTTAGCATATTAATATAATTTATTTTTAGAAAGCAATAAAATTTGAGAAATTTAAACATTTCTTTATTATTACAAAGAAATCTTAAATTATTACTGTTTGTGTCTTTTATTAACATTATGTTGAGATGAGCAGATTGTAGTAAATTTTTAAAGTAAAAAACATCACCTAATTCAGTCATACTAAAATCAATATCGGTTCTATTATTTAATTTCCTCGTAATTAAGCACGGCAAATCTTTAAATGTATAGATTGTATCAAAAAAAATTTGTCGTTTTTCGAAAAATTCATAAAATTTTTTAGAATACATCATGTAATTAACACCTGTATAAACTATAAATTTATTAGTTATAAATTTTGTCAAGTTTTCATAAAGGGAAGCATATGTAGAAATATATTCTGGAAACTGATTATGAAATTCTTGATGTACTTTTATTAAATATAAAGGATTTATAAAGCGCTTCTGACAGTTTCCTGAATATATGCTACAATATTCGGGTAGTGCAGGAACAATCAAATCATTGTGATCAAGATGAATTGGTTTATCGAAAGAAAAATAATTTGTAGAGTTTACAAAATAAAATAAAACATTGCTATAATCTTTAATCATCTTGTATTCAATGTAGCTAATCAATGAGTCGCGATATCTATTGATGGTTGTTGGATAAACATAATAATGAGTATCATCGCGTTGAAACAAATAAATATGTTTCATAATTTCATCATACAGAAACTGTTCTGTATGATGAAGATCTTTGCGCTTTAATTTTGGTACTACGACTGTAATATTTCTTATTTGTTTAACAGTTGTAAATAATGTTCTCATATTATCTGTCACGATTATCACTAATTTCTTGAATTTCACCTCAAGAAGTAGATCATCAATTGTTTTCCAATGTTCGTAAATAGTACAGATTGATCTGCTCGTAGGTGTATGGGCATTACTAGTATTTACACTCTGTAAACAATAAATATTTAGAATTACAATTTTTGGTAGTCCTTTTAGTACTTCGGATAACATCACACACTTAAATAATAAATCAGAGGTTTTTGGAGCCGCTGAACACGAATCTAATATCGGATTTCCAAAATTTTTATTCAAGCAATGATAAAGAATGATTTAAGAATTGTACTCAATTTCATAAAACATGGTTATAGATTTTAAAACTTACCAAAGAATCCACAACAATCTTATAGGTATTATTCATTAAATAACTTAAATTTTCGCTAACAGTTAACATTTTCTGTTTAAGATCATCAAGTACGGAGGAAATTGCATCACTTCCAATAATATAATCATTTGTATGCAAAAATATTATTCTTCTAAACCAATCGATTTTTCTTATCAATGGTTTTGCAACAAACCGTTTTAGGTGATCTATCCACATTGGTATGTTGTGAGATGTAACATCTGATATTTGTTTCATAAAACAAAATAATTTAAGTATTTCTAATTCGTGTTTATTTTCACAGAGACTGCCAAATGAACTATCATTGCTCTTTAAGGAAAATACAGTATTAATAATCCAATGTAAATAATCCATCGTATTCATAAGCTTTCTTAGATTAGGTTTACTTTGATTTCTGGAAATAATCTCTTCTGTCACTTCCAGACCTCTTGACTGCAAGCAAATTAAACTTCTTTCTACAGTAAATCTTTTGTTTTTTTCTGCACTCTCCCTATTGTTTTGAATTTTGTTTAGTGTCGAGTTAAAGTGCAGTAAAGAACTCATGCTTTGAGGATTTATGTAAAACCGAATCGAATCGCAAATATCATAATCGTTAACTTCTGTAGAGGATAAGTTTTTTGTTTCTTTTTCTCTAAATAATTGTTTACGTAACTCGAATAATTCGGAGAAGCTTTCACCTTTCTGAATTTTTTCGTTTACATATTTTACAAGAGTGCAATTTGTGCAGCTTGGTTCCAATGGAATTAAAATATCTTCATAGAAAGGAAACTCTTTCTTTACATTAACAAAATCAAAAGTAATGCCTAAATTGATATCTAACAACTTCTTTTGGGAATATATGGTCAAAAAATGGTCTTGAAATTCTACTGGATAAATAAAATAATATGTGTCATTCGCTTGGAATAGATAGATGTTTTCCAATATAATTTGATATAACTGACTGTAATAAGGATTTTTCTTGATCCTATTATCATTTAATATCCTTTTGTTGTCACTCAAACTTCTAACTCTGTTTATACTGTCAATAAATTTATCTGCTATAATTACTACCAACGGCTTATATTTTCTTTTGAACAACATATAATCAATTACTAATGAATTATCATAAATACAACAAATATCATTTTTAACCTTGAATGGCCTGATTCCCGTGTCTTCTACCTAAAAAATACTCATTCTGGTAAAAATTCTCAAATTCGACTTATTTTTTATGCAGTATTTTTTTGCATATGTAACTTTAGGGACTATGTATATAGAAAAATGAAAATAAATAAAGAATTTAAATAAATTTCTTCTTGTTAAACTTACATGGTTTCTTCCATAAATTGAATTTTTTTCAACCATCAGTAAAGAAATCAAAGTAAGCGCTATTAAAAATTTACTTTTAGAATGCATTTTTGATTTTTTTATGAATATACTTTCTTTCAACACTTGCACTGATATATTATTGTTGAAATAGAAAAATATATGCTAATGTACAAAAAAATCATAAAATTTAATCAATTTTTTTTAACAACTTCAACTTTATGACATTTTTTCTTTTAATCTTTAAAACTTTTTTGCGCTTTACAAAATTTTTGTCGATTTATCACGTTGCTCAAAGAACTGTATTTTCTTTTAAAATTAAATATATTTTTCTTGAGAATTCAGCACTATTAATACGAGCCTACTAAATTATTTATAAATAAATAAATAAATAATAAGAATAGTAATAATAATGATAATAGTAATAATAATAAAAATAATAATAATAGTAATAAAATAATAAAAATAAAAATTATTATGATTATCATTATTATCGTAATACTTAAAATATTTTGTATATTGAAAAAATTAATTCATAACTAAATTTTAATAAAAAATTTCTGTTTTATTTAATATATTAATAGCAATCTACTAAATATAAATATAATTGCTTTAATATTTCGTAAAATTAGAAAAAATAATTCTTTACTAGGTTTAAAAAATTGATGTTTCAATTAATATTTCAGTAAATCAATTAAATAAATAATTAAATTTATTTCAAGCTGCCAGAAATATAAACAATAAAGAAATTCCTCTGGCAAAGAAAGCTTTAAATGAGAAATTGAAAGAGAATATGAGAAAGTGATATTCAAGTATTTCGTTTAATCCTTTTCTCGAGAAACTATTACAAAGATTCTCTTTTTCTTAATTTCGCATCTCAATGTCGAGAAGATTTCTGGGGCGATGAAATAAAATTTTGAATTAAAAAAAAAAAATTTTAATTTCCTTAAACATTCAAATACATTTTTTTAATTTTACATTCATTGAATTAAATTATTAAAATTATTCTTCATTGAAAGAGAAAAAATTGTTATTTTTTGTACAAGAAAAATAATTTTTTTTATTAAAAATAAATAATTTTTATTCATTAAAAATTATTTTAATTTATTAATTAAAAACGTATTTTTGTTATTGATTAAAATTATCTTATTTTTATGAAATAAAAAGGAATTTTTTTCTATTGATTAAAAATTAATTTATTCTTATTATTGAACTTAATTTTTAAATCTGGGAATTTTTACTGCAATTCAAATTGTTAGAGAAAGAAAATTCTTCTTAAAAAAAAAATTCTTCTTTTTCTTTAAATCTTTATCTACATTCTTCCTCTCAAGTTTAGCTTAGACCACTTCATATCTATTATAATTACTATTAGTAATTTTTTTGCATTTCCAATAGCCTATTCTCCTTGTTGACGGTTCTAGGCATCTATCTATAAAAGATACAAGAAAATCCAAATGAAGTTAAATTTTTAATGATAAATGTCATCAATTTTTCGAAATGATGAAAATTTGTTATATTTTTTTATACCTAGTAAAATTTTTAAAAAAATACAATTTTATAATTAAAATATATAAAATTTTAAAATAATTTAGATTGTCTAAAATTTTAATGAATTTGTGTTAGTTAATGATTTTTTGCTTTTAAATTAATGTAAAGTCACTAATAATTAAGTAGAAAAAAATTTAATTTAAAAGAAACTTAATTTTTAATTTTTTTAAATATTTTAATTTTTAAATACTTAAATATTTTAAAGAACTATTTATATATTTTTTTACATACTTTTTTTAATTTTCATAATTAGAATTAATTTTTTACTATCTTTTATAATAAATGATAAATAATTTATTATAATAAATTTATTTATTTTAATAAAAGAGAAAATTCAATATCTACATAAAATTTAGTTTAATTTTTTTTACTAATTTTGGATAATAAAAAATACAATAAAAAATAAATTCAAATTTTGGGGGCAGAGAAATGTTTAATATTTTTTACCCAATGCTTGGTTCCATGGATAGACACAGCGTGCACTATTACAAGAAAATCTGCTACAGTAATATTTATAAGTATTCCTAGTATTTTCATCCAAAGGAGGTTGAATACAGTGCTCTATTAAATAATGATTTTTTATTAATTGTTTTAGTTAATATTATAGTAAATAAATATTTACTTGAAGCAAATAATTTTTATTTCAACGAAATAAACTTTATTCAAACTAATAATTAAGAATTGGTTAAAAAGGTTGTTGGTAATTAAACGAATCGACGCTTGTGGAATTAATAGAAAAAATCCTTTAGAATTCAATTAAATTAGTAGTTTAAAGAATATTAGTAGTTTAGAAAAAAAAATATTTTTTTCGAAAAAAAATGTACTGTTATTGACAATTTTTAACTGACATTTAATTGAATTTATATATCGAATAGCAAAACGTAGTAAAGAATAAAAAAAAATATTTTACCGGCAGCTTCCTCTTTCGTTGGCCAACCAACGAAACAATATGCAATGTTAAATGAAAAGCAAGCGAACAAGAAAATTTGTATAAAATTCATTTTTAAATTTTTCAAAATTTTCTCCAAAGACTATTTACTAAATGATTAATAATTAAATTTCCAACATGTTTTTATACCCAAGTCTGTTATTTATCGCACAATGCTATTCGAATTTATAATTACAATTGAAATTTTCATTACAAAAAAAATTGTCAATTGTTAGTAAAATTATTCATAATTATATAATACAATCATTGATAAAAATCAATGACTGTATCAATTTTGGAAAATAAAAAAAAGTTCTATGGATAATTATTAACAGTTATTAATCAATAAACTGTAAACAAAATATTCCAAAGAATAAATATTATAATATAATATTATAATATTAGAATATATATATATATATAATATTCTTCTTTTTAAATTGTAAAATAATAATTATTTTATCTAATAATTTTTTATAGTATGCGATTTATACTATATTGGAATTATACAATTCTTATCTTTTGGAGTGATAATTAATTATAAAATTGAATTAATTATAATTCAAACTGTGTAAATAGATGAAACAGATGTCGAGCTATTCACATTTTTCCACTAATTATATTATTACAATACTCCATAGAATTCTTAGATTTTTTTATTTTTCGCTATTTTAATTTTAAAGTTTCAAAGTATTCAAGTTAGAAAAAAACAATAGATTTACATAAACTAAAAGATAAAAAAAATTGTTATCAAAGGAGAAAAAAATAAAAAAAATTTAAAGCGGTAAAATATCCAAGCCGTGTGTCTATATACTCAATACTTATGATTGAAGAAATGAAAAATTATTAATAATAAATATTGTTTATAATAATGAACAGCAGGTGATATTATTTTCGAAAAAAGGGTAATTTCATAGAAAGGTTCAATTTACAGAAAATTTAGATGGGTAGAAAACGTCAGGAATTTTTTTTCCTTACTCAGAATGTATTTCTCAGTAAGGAGAAAAATATAAACAATAATAATTTGTAATAAAACAAATAAATAAATAAAATAATTGTTTACAATAATGTACATCAGTTGATTTTACTTTCAAAAAATGTTATTTTCATTAAAAACGTCAGGGAATTCAGGGAAAAGACAGGTAAAGTAAAATTGGTCAGGGAAATCAAGGAAAAGTCAGCGATTTTTAGTAAAAGTACTGGGAAAAATTGAATTTTTAAAATTCATGAGAAAACTCTGAATTTTGATGTTTTTTTTTGTTTGCCTCGTAAACTATGAAATTACCACGAATTTTAATACAAAACCTTCAATTTTTTCTATTTCTGACAATAATTTCTTTTTAAATAACTTAATTTTTCAAGAACTATCATAAAATTATGACTTATAAATTATTTAATGAATAATTTTTACAATTTTCATAAATACTAGATTGATAGAAGAATTTTATTTAAAAATACTAAAAAAAAATTGAATTTTGGAAAAGTTACAAATTATTCCAGAAATTCAATTATTTTCAAAAGTTATAAAAATTCTTCGCATAATTTCAATTATCATGTTCAAAAATTTAAAAGAAAATTCTCGTCAAAATATCAATGATCTTTATAAATAATAAAATTCTTCATCGAAAAATTATTTTTAAAAATTTTCATAAAACTCTTGTCAAAATTTCCCAGGAATTCAATTATTTACAAAATTTTTAATAAATTTCTTCGAAACAATTCAATTATTTTCATAAGTAATAAAATTTTCACAGGAAATCAAGTATTTAAAATACAAAATTTTCTAAAATTTTTTGAAAAATATCAATTATTTAAAAAGATTTTTATAAAAATCGTTGCAAGAATTCAATTATTCATATAAATAATAAAATTCTTCACAGAATTCAGTTTTTTTTTATAAATAATTAAATTGTTTTCCACAATTCAATTATTTTCAAAAATTTTAATAAAATTCTACGCAAACATTTAATAATTATTTTCATAAATATGTAATAATATTCTTTGAAAGGATTCAATTACTTTTATAAATTTAAATAGTAAAATTTTTTGCGGAAATTCAATTATTTTTAATACAATTTTAATTGAATTCCTCGAAAAATTTAACTATTCTTAAAAATTTTATTAAAATTTGTCGAAAGAATTCAATTATTTCTAGAAAATGAAAAAAAAAAATCTTCTCAAAAATTCAATTATTTCCATAAATAGCAAAATTCTTCAGATTTACCAAATTCTTTTGAATATTATTTTTAAAAAATATTCTTCACAAGAATTCAATTATTTTCATAAAATTCTAAAGATAAATTCAATTATTTTCAAATGTCATAAAATTCATTGCAGAAATTCAAATATGTTTAAAAAAAATTGTTAAATTCTCCTCGAAATATTTAATTATTTTTATAAATAATTAAATTGTTTTCCACAATTCTTCTTATTTTAAAAAATTGAAAAAATTCTTTGTTTAATTCAATTATTTTCCAAATTTTTAATTAAAATTATTAAAAAACATTATTTTCCAAAAATTAAAAGAAAATTGTCAAAAGAATTTAATTATTCATAAAAACTCGAATAAAATCTACAAATGTAGATTTTTTTATGTTCGAAATCAAATAAATTTAAATTTGATGGGGAAAAAAAAACTAGGAATAATTAGGACAAAGCCGGGAATTTTGTTGAACGAAAATAGTAGAGAAA